TAATGCAGAGAGTGGAGGAGAAGTGGTTGCAGTTGTGAAGAGGCGAGGACGAGGAAGGCCTCCTAAGATTGGTGGTATTATCAGGAAACCTATGAAGCCTAAGAGAAGCTTTTCTCGTACTGGAAAACCTTTAGGAAGACCCAGAAAGGTAAAAATTTCTATGTTTTCTCTTTGTTTCTGCAATCTCAATAGTGTGATAATTCTTAGAACCGTGAACATTATAGAGCTTGATGTTTACAATTTTTCTGAGTCAAATAGATAAGAGGAAAAAGTTGGAATCTTTTGTCTTGTGAATAAATGTCACTTTCCATTCTGAAAATTGTCTCTTTCGAGCGTGTGGAATAGTTTCCATTCTAAATAGTTTTTGTCTCTGCTTTTGGTTTATGCTTATCTGGTTTTTGGTGTACTATTTATTATAAAGATTTTCTCTTTGTTTGGTAATCAAGAGCAAATTGGTGGGTTGGCTCGCTTTATCTGGTAATAATTGTTCAGTTGAAATGTGAGAAATACATAAGGAATTAGCTTTCAAGGCACAAGTTTTACAAATTCAATTCATTTGATGTAGAGATTTGATCGTTCTTGTAGATAGTCCTCGAGAATTTGTTCTATTATATCAATGAGTTATCGTACTAACATCTTTTTCTTGCTATTTATGAACATAGAGTCCTGTGTTGAGACAACAAGATGGTGGCTATGTTGAACTCAAGAAGAAGTTTGAGTTGTTTGTAAGTCAACTAAAAACACACCAATAGCATTTTCTTCGAAATTAAAAAAAAAATTTCATGCTTAATTGCTTATGCTCGGTGTTGGTTTCTCATCTAATGCAGCAAGCGAGAGCTAAGGATATTGTTGTTGTGTTGAAAGCCGAGATAGGAGGAACTGAAAACCAAGCCGTGGTTCGAGCCATACAGTCACTGGAAGAGCTAACAGTAGAGGAGCCACAACGCCCACAACACATGGTAGAAGAAGTGCAGGCAGACGATGAACACCCTGAAACCGGACCCGAACCAGAGGGACAAGGAGGACAACAAGGACAAGCGCAAACAGAAGCAGAGGCTATGCAAGAAGCTCTGTTCTAAAGAGATCCTTATCAAAAGCTAGCAAG